ATTGTGGTTTTTTACAAATAAAAAAAAAAAAAAAAAAAAAAAGAAGATTAAACTATAAAAATTTAATAAATATTTTATAAGTGTGAAAATTATGGGTTTATAATTTTAAAATCGAGTTATATTAAAATATTTAATTTGATTAAAAAAATAGTTTTAATTGATTTGAGATTTTAAGGATGCATAAATTGATATTTTTTGGGTTTATTATTTTGTGTATAGGCACATAATATCTGTTTTTACGGAGAACACAGCGTTTGACAGATAAAATTCTATAAATCATTTCAAAGCAATTTCGCTCGGCCTAGAATTTCATGTTGTGGCCCAATTCGTCGTCCATCTGTTCTTGAAATTTGTGGAAGCTACCTCGTCAATCAGATCCATTTCCATTCTGATGAAGAAACATTGTTCGGTAGCCGAATAATCTGTTTATCAAGCATCAGAGATCGTTGCTACTTTCGGAAATCAAGTTTTCCTTTAATTACATTGATTATCTGCTCGATTGTCAAGTCTCTTGTGTTTCCAATTCTCGTTTACTTCAAGATGATGGTCGAGGATCTCGGTATCGAAGCAAAGGAAGCAGCCGTACGCGAGGTTGCCAAGCTTCTGCCGCTTCCGGAGCTTCTGCAGTCAATTAGTTCGATCAAGGCCGATTACATTACTCGTCAGCAGGTACTTGTTTTCAACGATTATTTTTTTATCACATTCTTCAACTCTTATGATCTTCTGCGACATCTGCGTGAATTTTCTATTGCTGAATTTTTGTTTCCAGTTCTTGTGCTGGAGCTTTGCTGGCAGTAATTCTATTGATAGGATGTAGAGCAAGTGATCCAAATTTTCTTTTCTGTTTTGTTGAAATCGTTACTGCAGTTGATGAGTCTTTGATTTAGTTTAGTCAAGAAATGCTAGAATGTTGCACCATCACTCATCTGGATAGTGATTTTAGCTATTTTTCGGACTCAAAATTTCTCAATTCCTCACCTGAAGACTTAGCATTTAAGACTTTAGAGCACTTGCACTTAAAAATCTACTTCATCCTCTCATTCATAGGAACGTATAGGGGACGTAGTCTACCAAATTCAAGGGGTTGATGCTTTTAAATAGTTGACAAATAATGTACTTCTGAGAGAGATGAATTTAAAAAATTTGCTGCAAACACAAATCGTGAATGAAAGTCTTAACTATAACACTTGTCCATGCTATGAATTGCGGATCTCACTTAAGCTTCACAAGATGAGGCTAATTTTTGCTTGCACTTAAATTCTCTGGTAATCAAGTATGGATGTTGCACGCTACACCGAGGTACTCTTGATCATGTGACCACCAGAACATAAATTCTCCCTTTTTGCCTAATATTGCGGCATAGTCGGGGTACTTGATTAAATTTCTCGCTGAAAATGCAACATATGTTTTATAGATGAAGGGAGTTCTATAGTTTATTGTTGTTGTAAGCAGTGTAAAAATAGATTTAATTCAACTTCCTGCCATAGTATCAGTTAATTCATAATTGTATCAATGCTTATAGTTATTGAATTCAAAATATGTTTTGTACAGATGAAGCGTAATTGCCTGTATTATGATGTTCTATTCTGGCATGATTACTGTGTGCTTCTGAGTGTTTTATCTTTCTGCTAATCATATTATGTTTTCCTAGTTTTGTGGAGTTTACTGAAAATAGTTAATGCTTCATTTTCAGGCTAATGATGCACAACTCAGTACAATGGTTGCGGAGCAGGTATAGCTGACAGCTTCTTCCATTATTTCTGAAGAGATCTGCTGTCTCACCATTGTGTATTCCCATATTTACTAATGGTCCAAACGTTCTGAGATGCACTTGAAGATAAAATAGCTTGGGTTGCTCAAATAGTCTTGCTTTCCCAACGTGAATGCAGGTTGAACAAGCACAAGCTGGACTGGAGTCGCTTTCTTTATCTGAAAAGTCAATAAACCAGCTTCGAGAAAACTTTATTTCAATTGAGAAGTATGAAAATAGATGCACTGGCAGTCAAATAATTTTCTTGATTCAAGTATCGTGATAGCTCAATTGCCTTGTGCATTCAGGTTATGTCAAGAATGCCAAACATTAATAGAGAACCATGATCAGATAAAGCTCCTTAGCAATGCAAGGAATAACTTGTTAACAACCTTGAAGGTCAGCCTTCTCCTTAATTATAAATGTAATTAAATGCTAAAGTATGTCTCAAATGTGCCCTTGGAATTTAACACACTCTTGGATGATTTATGTGGCTGTCTTTTTATCGTTTTTGTTCTTTTTATTTTCACAAACTTTTAGGTTTTTATAGCATTTTAGTCGCATTACTTGAGTAATTGGTTGTAAATTAAACTTATACACGTGGGATTACAATCGCATCAAGTACCTAGGCCATTAATTTAACAATCCAACAATCAACTTTTCTTCTAGCAAAATCTTCCATGTCCAACATGATATACTTAATCCATAAATCGATTTTCTCGCTTTAAGTTCAAGACCTTTTAATTTTATTTATTTATCTATTTGTTTTCTCTCCATGGTGGTTAGCTGTATTTCTATGGTGTTATAGAACTAATGTTCTATGCCTTGAATAGGATGTTGAGGGCATGATGTCCATATCTGTTGAAGCGTCTGAGGCCCGAGATTCTTTGAGTGATGCAAAAGAGCTTATAAACACTTACGAGGTGAAGTGGTCTTAATGTAGTTGTTAAGGTTGAAAAGTTTTCTCATCATTTTGACATTTGCGCTTTTTTTTTTTTCAAAACTAAACAGCGTAGTATCTTCATGTAGCATTTCATGCCTTTATAATCTGGCCCTTATAATTCTTCCCATTACATGCACACTTGTCACAGAGGCTAACTGCACTTGATGGAAAACGGAGGTTTGCTTTGGCAGCTGCAGCATCTCACAAAGAAGAGGTTGGGAGACTAAGGTATGTATCTGTTTTTTTTTTCCCCTCTTCTTTTTGTTCTTTTACCCTGAATGTAGATCTATCTTATTTTTGTTAGGGAATAAAACAAACTACCTGGTATTTGCAATTACATGCAAATATCCTCTAGTTTAGTATCCATTTTAACATCTTATTTGGAATGAAAGTAGCTCTAGGATCTTTCAAGACAAAGAAAGATCCCCACATGAGGTCCCAGAGGCCTCACTTTTTTTGGCTCTTTATTGGTGTAGAAATAATGTTTACCAGCAAGAGCTTAAATTCTCATCTATCCAACTGGAGAAGTTTTCTGTAATCTCTGTGGCTGAGTTTTCTCTTTTGTATCCTTTCATTTGATCAAGAAATTGTTTCCTCTCCAAATTTTTTTCAATACCTGATCTGTGGTTAGTATTGAAAAATGGGATTTTATAAAAAAAAATCTTTGTAATTTTTTTTATCTGTGGCTGCTTTTGCCTTGTAGGGGTCTGGCCCTTCCTCCTTTTGTACATTTCATACTTTCAATGAAATCCGTTTCATTTTTTTTAATATCTCTAACCATGTCTAGAATAATTTTACAATAATGGAATTCAATGATACACTTAAGTGGCGTACTTATTTGGGTGTTTGAAGTTTTTAGAGGAACTAGCTATTGTTGGTGGGACAATGGTAAGAGGGCAGAGAGAATACTTCAGTCCTTAGAAATTCTCTATGGGATAATTTCATTTATTAGGATAACAAATGATTAAATAAACTTAGGATGATGGTCATGGTGAAATTTTATGTTTCATTTTGTTTCTATTTAGTTGTTTAAGTCAATGTTATTTTATTATAGTTTTATCAATCTTTTTTTCTGATACATAACGTGACCTTCCCTGCTTCCTAACCTTTGGAATAAACAACAGAGAATATTTTGAAGATGTAGATCGAACATGGGAAACATTTGAGAAGACCTTATGGGAACATGTGTCCAACTTTTATAAACTTTCTAAAGAGAGGTACATTATGTATAGTTTCAAT